GCTAGACAGAGATAGAGACAGAGACAGAAAGACAAAGAGAAAGACAGACATGAATATAGACCTAGAGACAGACAGAGATAGACAGGGAGATAGAGACAGAGTCAGGCAGAGACAGGAGAAAGAGGAGGAGGAGGAAAACCAGGAGAAGGAGAAGGAATAGGGAAAGGAAGGAGGGAGGGAGGAAGGGAGGAAAGAAGGAAAATACACATGGTATTACAAGAGTGCCTGTAAGCTGGTGATTTTCCTTGTTAGTCAGTGCAACCCAGTCTCACTTTAAGACTAATATCAACCCATATATATATATATATATATATATTACATAATATAAATATATATAATATATTATATAAATATATATATATATAAAATTTGGGAGGGGGGGTCCAGTTGTGGGCCTGAACTCTGGGCCTGGGTGCTGTCCCTCAACTCTTCAGCTCAAGGCTAGCACTCTACCACTTGAGCCACAGCGCCATTTCTGGCCTTTTTTGCTTATGTGGTGCTGAGGAATCAAACCCAGGGCCTCATGCATGCAAGGCAAGCGCTCTACCACTGAGCCACTTTCCCAGCCCCATACATCCCAAATTTTAACCTTTGCTCTTAAAACTGATTCCCACTAACTCCTCATTTCCATGTTAGCTGCTCTTTTGAACCCAGTTTCCAAAGCCTAATCATTGGGCTCTGACTTTGTATTCCTTCTTCCTTGTCCTCTGAATCTACAGCCTGGCAATCCTCTCTTAAGAGTATCTCTCACCTTATCTGTAAAACTAGACCAAAGTAGTCTTTCCAGTCTACCTATGGCATCAAGTTAATTCTATCACATTTTATTAATGGTTTTTTCCCTCTTCTTCCCACAGCTATAATATAGTTGCCTTTAAAAGAAAAGGTTCGTTGGTGTCTGCGATCGGATCTACGTTATCTATTTCTACGTGAACTGCTCATTCTACACAGATGGAGCCTCGTCCTCTGCTGTGAGATAACCCCTTGTGTTCCTGAAACTCAGCCCTTGCTCCACCTCCATGCACTGCCACTTATTAAAAACCTAAGAACCCTGAAGCAATTCACCAGGAGTGAGGAGTGAAGTCATCTCGGGTCATACTGTTCTTGTTCATGTTCTCATATGCTCCATTAGTCACTGGTCACTCTTTGTGCTAGGCATTGCATGACTTCTCTCTAGCCAGGCATGTTAGGCAGGTTTTAGAGAAACGGCCCAAAACAAAGGAGAGTAGAAGGGGAGAGGGTATATTTTTAATGAAAATACGTAACTGTAGCATCTCGCAAGTCCAAAATCCACAAGGCAGAATAAAAGAAAGTTATATTTGAACAAGAAGATAACCTGGAGATAAAAATCCCATGACACAGGGGCTGGGAAGTTGGCTCAGTGGTAGAGTGCTTGCCTTGCATGCATGAGGCCCTGGGTTCGATTCCTCAGCACCACATAAGCAAAAA